GAGGGACCAGGCTTGTTCCTTTATAACTGGCTCTCAAGAGAACTAATCCACTCCTGTGAGAGTAACATTAATCCCTTCCGAGGGCATGCCCCAAAGACCTAACCACATTTCACTAGCCCCACCTCTTCAATGCCCATCCACGACCTCTCAATACAGTTACACTGGGGACCCAGATCCCAGCCTGTAGACCTCTGGGGGATAAGCCACATGCAAACCATAGCACAGTCTACAAGCCAACGACTGTATGCCTTTACATCGCAAGATGCCGTCAAGTGTTAAGTTACACTCTGGCTCCAGAGATATTAAAACATGCATCTGAAAATCTGTGAAATACAGCAGTATGTCAAATATGGGGCCAGATAGACAGGAAAAATTTCAACTCTAGCTGTTTCATACAATTGTAATTACTCCTGCTGTCAAGAATCAATAGATCCCTTGCCTAAGCAGAGCAGGTAAACCCAGAAGGGAAGGACAGAGTTTGGATGACAGTCTTCCAGCACTCCCAAGCAAACACACTGGGACTACGAACCTGTCATGTTGGTATCTCTACCACCAGGGGTCAGCACCCCTCGCATCCCAGGCAATCAACCTGCAGGCTGACTCAGTTGAGGCTCAAAGCCAAGTGACAGGGAATGATCAAGTAGATTTCCATACACCCTGAAAGGCGAGACAGAGAGCTTCCAACCTCCTCTGGAACCTTTTATAAGGACTTTTTTTCCCTCTAATTGTCCTACCGCCAGGAAAATGTAATACCACAGACAAACTGTGCATCTTTTCATTACCGAGGTGTCAATGTGGCACCCCCAGGAATGCCACAAACCACCAAACCGTCTAAGATGCTCTGTTCCCATCAAGAACCCATCAAGAACCCGTCCTCGCTCACTGCAGGGCAGTATACGCCTGAGGTGAGAACGGGTGAGTTATGGGTGAACACAGTTCTTCTATTGGTTTGTTCATTTGCTTTTCTATTGGCTGTGGTTGGCTCGGGGGTCCTATTATCAAGCCAGAAGGGAGAATAAGAGGTCACCAAGTGGGAGCCCCTTGCTTTGCAGAGAAAACCCGTAATGCAACAACAATAAAACACATGAAGCCTACAGAACCTTTATAGTTGTCCAAGGAAAACAGTCACTTCCTTAGACGGAAAAATAACATTTTCTTCTTGCTCACAGTAGCCCCTGTTCATCCCCGTTTTTGACACTGTGGATGAGGCTGGCTAGGCGTCCCACAGCAAGGACGTGTGGACGTGACATCTGGTGAAGAGCAGTGAGGACAGAGCGGACAGACTGGGGCACAGGCAGTGTAGACGATGAGGGTGGGAAGAAGATGACAGACAAGATACTCTCAGCAGGAAGCAGGGGAAACTGCTGCAGCAAGTCACCATGAATCTGAAGCAACTGCGGATCCTCCAACCACGGGGTGGCAGGAGGGAAGGAAGAAGTGGGCATGGAGGAGGCTGCAGAGCTGGTGGATACTGCCAGAATTCCTGCTTAATAACCAGGAAGGAAACAGCTGGATGATGTGCTGTTTACCAAGAACTTTGCGCTTAGTGCTGGCCAGGAAGTAAGTTCTAGACGGTTAATACGAATAAATGCAAAAGATGGGACTGGTCCCACAGCTTAAAACTTTAAAAAGTAAATACGTATAGTGATTACTATGGACACAGCAGTGTCCTCATTGCTTTGTATGTATGGGTCATTTAATCCTCCCAACATCATAAAGTAACTACAAACATTTAAGTAATCCCTGGGATCCCAGAATTACTGCTGAACAGCAGGCAATGGAAGAGCAGGTCAACTGGGGACATGCTGTAGAAGGTGCTCAGAAGAGAAGGTGAGATTTGAATTGCACCTTAAAGCCACAGTGAGATTACTGGGGTGACACCCTATGGTAAGGGACCCAGAGAGCAGGGTCTTGCACATGAGGCCTGTATCGAGAACTGAAATTTTCTTGGAGCACAGCCCTGCCCCAAGTGCTTGGCCTTGGGCTGCTTTCTGGCTTTCGTGCTTCGAGGGCAAGCTAAGAAGTTCTGACAGAGGCCAAGACCATATCACCCACAAGGCTCAAATATTTACTGTCGGGCCTTCGGCCGAGTTCACTGACCCCAGACCTGGAGCCTTCCTCTTCAAAGACAGGCCAGTAAGCCAGCACAGCGGGGTCACCAGGGGCTTGACACAATGTGGCTTCTCAGGCCCCATCCAAGACCTGGAGAACTCAGTCTGCCTTTTTTTTTTTTTTTTTTTTTGCAGTATCAGGGCTTGAACTCAGGGCATACACCTTGAGCTATACCACCAGCCCTTTCTGTGTTAGGCATTTTCAAGATAGGGTCTTGCAAACTATTTCCCTGGGCTGGCTTCGAACTGCTATCCTCCTGATCTCTGCATCTTGAGTAGCTAGGATTATGGGGATGAGCCACCGGCGCCTGGCTTGGTCTGCTTTTTGAAAAGGTCTCTCTGCAGAGTCCTTCATTCAGAGAGGGGACTGAGAGAATCTGTGCTTACCCTGCTGTACAGACAAGGCAGAGGAGGGGCCATCAAAGCTGTGTTCTTTAAAGGTCCCCTGATCACAGTGTGATGGTCAGAGAATTGGGAGGGGAGGTTTGTGTCATAATCCAAGCAACAGACGACCCAAACAAACCATGCAGGCTAGGTCTCCCACTAGCCTCTTCTTTTCTTCCCAACTTCACTAGTGCCTCCAAAAGTCTTCTAACAACCGGAGTATGAGTTATAATTTATTAAGAACTTGGGGCTGGTGGAGTGGTTCAAATGGTAGAGTGACTGCCTAGCAAGATTGAGGACCTGAGTTTAAAACCCCAGTGCTGCAAAAAAAAAAAAAAAAAAAACAGAAAAACATTTGGTAACAAGACTATTAGTATTCATGTGTTTCCAGTGTAACAATCGTATCATGATCTAAATCATGCCTCAAGAAGTCAACGCATAAATTAAGATATTAACTGGATAACAAGGATGCTGAAAGGTGAGCCAAGGATCTATTCAGTAGCTACCTGTTATGTGGGCTGCTAACACATCAGATTTTCTGGGGTGTTAGTGTCTTACCGTCAGGCCTTCTTTCCCACACCTCAAATAAATGCATGATTCTGCTTGACACTTGGTTTTTCTGAATTTTGGATGAATAAGCAATTTAAAGTTGCAAAGATATAAAGCAGCGTTTTGGACTACCACACCAACATCATTCTCTCATGTACCTCCAAGTAATCGTTTCTCGTTCTGCCTCCTTAAAAATCTAGAGACGTTTGACAGGGTTATTTGTGGGATCCAGTATGCTCAAAAGTAATGATGGCAATACAGATAAAAATAGCTGGGTGAAAAGGGGACATTCCCTTTCTTAGCTCTGAGATTTAATATTTTACATTCATTACACAGGCAGAAACAATGCAAAGGAAAAAAAAAGACTGTATCTACTTTGAGAAATGCAGCATAATTAAATGAATAAATCTCAAAGGGGGAAAAAAGCCACTAAAGTCGTGTTGAAAAGAATAATCTCTGTATTAAGATTCATTAATAAAAACCTTAAAAAGTCCACTTAAAGAACAAAAGTAACATTTACAAGTACCTACTGTGGTTTTACATTGTACTATGACTCATTTTATCTTCAAACACCCTGACACCAGCTCCATTTTATAAACCAGGAAACTTAAGGTACAGAGAGATTAAGTAACTTATCCAAGGTCAGACAGTTAAACAAGAGGTGGGGGATGAGATTTGAACCTGGGCCTGGGTTCTTAAAACTATTAAGGTACCTCTCTAAGAGACTACTCCCCAGGCTCCCCGTGGCTTCACATTCATCTGCAAAAACTGAAACCCTTACGATTCAGACATTCAAAGTCTTAACGGAAAGAGCATACGGTACTCAGTGGCTAGAATGTGCCATGCAATAAGTAACACCAGGGAATATGGAGATGCACTGGAATTGAGACACGGGCTGTCTTTCAGGAGAATAAAATACAAATTAAGTTCAGTAAATTTCTGCAATGCATCGTTTGTGCTAGTAGTTAACGATGGAGGAGGGCTTCTATGGATGATTATCTTCTAGCCAACACGTCTGTGAGATGCTGCAGTGAATTTTCTTCAAGGCACTGGGCCTTGCCTTGGTGCTATGGGGTTAGCACAGTGCTTACTTAAGTGACTGCCTGATCCCAGGCGAACAGGGGTCTTAGAGGTGGCCCAAGGGACTGTGTCCACATGCACAGTCTTTGTTTAGGGAGCTTCACTCTTATCAACCCTCTTGGAAAAAAGAGAGAGAGAGAGAGAAGTAGCTAAATAAATAATAGAAGTGCAGGAGACAGCACAAGGGCCTTTTACACTCTTCAAATTGTCAAGCATCTTATATAAAGTTCGTTTTCCACTTTGAGCTCATCGGATTTCCATTTTAAAATAGGAATTTTGTCAAAGAACAGGCTCATCCCCTTCACATGTTAACAGCCTCAAAATAAGATCCAGGTTATTTACCTGTAAGAAGATACAAGAGGAAAATAGGGCAGGAAGAAGACAAACGGAGGAAGAAGCGAGGCGACAGAAATGACAAGAGTGAGAGGGTCGCCTGAACTCAAAAACCAATTCCAGGAGCCACCCGGGGTTTGCCTATTTAACTTTCCCCATTTAAAAAAAAAAAAAAAAAAACGGGGAGACACACCCTAGTGGAGGCATTTCCACAAATGCAGATAAGGGAGCCGGTTTGTTATTTGAAGGCATGGCTGTGCGTCCAATTCCGGGCTTGCCTCTGAGCGCACGGTGACATGCAAACAATCAGGGCTGCATGACACCTGCTCCCGTTCGAGTTCGGGTGGCGAGGACAAAAGGGCCGCCCGCCCCTCGGTGCGCGCCGGCGGCCGCTGCCCGGGAGCCGGCTGCGTCTCTGCCTCCGTCCCCGCAGGACGCAGGGCGCAGCGGGGACGGCGGGGGCCGGGGGTTGGGGGGACCGGGGCGGGCGCGGGGTCCCGGGCGGGATGCGGGGATGCGCGTCGGCGGCGGGCGCGCACTCACCTTCCTCCTCGAACTCCAGCTTCTCCAGCATGCCGGCTTCCGCGGGTCCCGGGGCCGCCGCCAGCGCCGCCTGAGGGGGAGGAGGAGGACAGGGATCAGCATGGGCCGCGGCGCTCGCTCGTCCCCGGCCGGCGGGCTCGTGGCCGGCCGAGCGCTCGGGCCTCGCTCCGTTCGCCGGGAGGAGGGGCCTGCGGCGGGCGGCGGCGGAGGCAGAGGCGGCGGGCGGACGCAGGCGGCGGCCGGGGCGGAGCGGAGCGGAGAGGAGCGGCGCGGTCCCCCCCGCCCGAGGCCCCGCGCCGCCGCCGCCGCCGCCACCGCCGCCTCTGCCGCCGCAGGTGGGGCCCGCGAGTGGCACGCTCCGCTCCCCCCCGCGCCTTTGGTACGGCCCGGGAGGAAGCGTGGAAGGGGAGCCGCAGGCCTGCGCGCGCCCCTCCGCCCGCCGCGCGCTGCACCCCACCCTCCCTGCCGCGCGCGCCCCGCACCTTCCCCGCGCGCGCGCCGCCAGCACGCCGGGCGGGTCCGACCTGCGCAGGTGTGGGCTCGGCCAGCCCCGAGGCGGGCGGGCGGGGCGCCCCCTGGTAGAGTGGGGCGGGGTGGGGTGGGCGGGGTGATGGGCAGGGCACCGGGACCCCGGCTGGGGATGGGCGCGCACACAGTAGGGCGTCCTTCCTTGCTTTCCTTTTCCTCCGTTAGATTTTAGATTTCCTTAAAAGGAGCCTGCCGGTGCCCACACGCTCTGTAGTGTGGATGCGTTTTACTGCTATCGTTTTTTCCAGCCGGCGAGCTCTGAACTTGCTTCCTTTGGGGCGCTGTTGCCAAAAGTTCACACGATCTAAATCTGGCCCTGGCTGCTTCTGTCACCCTGGATCTGGGTATCTGAGACTCGCCTATCGCCAACTCGGGTTGGCAGGCGGAGAGGCTGCCCTCCCCTACAGGAGCCCGGAGTGCGCCGCCTAACAGCCAGTTCCTACCCCAGCTACTGGGGCCCCGCTAGTGAGATTAGCTCCTTGGCGCTGATCAGGGCCGCAGAGGGCCCCTACCTCTAAGAATGGCACTTCCTCCTTATTCTGTCATTCTCGCAGGCCTTGCTTAAAGCAGGAAGTACTGACACCTCTTTTGCTGGTTCTTTGCTGCTTCGTTTCCTCAGTTGGGTCAGTCCCTAAGTCTCTAAATTTCCTCTTAAAAAGTGGGGAGGGGGGGACTGACGGTGGGGAGGAAAAGACAAAACTAATTTGGTAAGATGTTCTGTGATAAAAAATCTACAGCGTTGATGTTTGCTTTGTAGTGAAAGCCTAAATACTTCTAAGTCTAGGGGCAAAGCAAGACTGTCTGTTCTCATTCATCTGAAAGCTAGTCCTGAAGGTTCTAACCACTACAATAAAGCAAGAAAAGGCATACGGATTGGAAAGGAAGAAATAAAAACATGCAGATGACATGGTTATCTACACAGAAAATTCCAAGGAATCAACAAAACAAAACAAACTTCTAGAACTAGTAGGTTCAGCCAGGTCATAGGATATCAGATCGACACACAAAAACCAACTGCACTTCTGTATGCTGACCCTAAAATTGTGGCACTGATGTAAAAACAACGCTGGCTACAGTCTCTGCAAAGAAAATGAGTACCTGGGGATAAAGAAACCACAGACAGGATCGTTTGCTGAAAAGTACAAAATGTGGGTGAAATGAGAGCGGATCATGGAGAAGCATGAATTGAAAGACCCAACATAAATATGCTAGTTATCCGCCGTCTTTTTTGGCAGTACTGGGATTTGAACTCAGGGACTCAAGCTTGCTAAACAGGTGCTCTACCACTCGCGCCACCCCACCAGCCCATTTTTGTGTGTGTGTGTGTTGAATATTTCAGAGATAGAGTCTCAACTATTTGCCCAGGCTGACTTCAAACCTCCATCCTCCTGATCTCTACTTTCTTAGTAGCTAGGATTACAGGTGTGAGCCACCAGTGCCTAGCTCCCACCTTCATCTTTTGGTTTAATAGAATTCCTTTTGAAATCCCAAGAAGGTTTTTTTTGGTACAGACACGCTTATTCTAAAATGAATGCAGAGAGGTAAAACTCTAGGATAACCTAAAATAATCTTGAAAAATTAGAATGGAGTGAGAGAAGTCACTACCCAATATTAGAGCTTACTGTATAGCTACAGTTAATCACATGTGTGACCTGGCAGAAGAATAGACTCCATGGTCAATAGAGAACCACAAAATAGACCTGTGCAGATGTGCCAAACCAATTTTTGTCATAGGTTTGAAAGCAATTAGATATCAAAAGGCAAAAAAGCAAACCTCAGGCAGTGTGGGGCTCAAGTGGTAGAGCGCCTGCCCTGCAAGTGTGAGGCTCTGAGTTCAAACCTCAGTATTGTCCCCCTGACAAATTGAACTATTGATATATACAAAAACTTGGATAAGTCTCCAGGGAATTGTGCTGAGTCAAAAAATACAATCCCCAAAGGTGATTCCGTTGACATTACACTCTGAAATGACAAAATTACAGAAATGGAGAAGAGATTAGTGAATGTCAGGGGGGACAGAGGTGTTGGTGGCAGTAAGAGGGCAACAGGAGGGACCCCACAGGTGATGGAGCTGCTCTGCATCCGACTTTATCAATATTAATATCCTGCTTGTGATATCATTCTCTATTTTCCCCCAGGAGCCCAGCCAAGCTGATTTAACTGTGTGGAGGAAATGACAATTTGGATTAAAAGATACATATTTGCTGGAAAGTCAGTGCATCCATTTAAAGTGTACAATTCAACAATTCAGCATTTTCAGAGTTGTATAACTAAGTTTACAACATTTTCATCATCCTGAAGAGAAACTTTGTACCCTTTATCAGGGACTTCCCGTTACCTGCTCAGCCCTTACACCCATCCCCCTAGGCAACCACTAAGCTACTTTCTATATTGGTTTCCCTATTCTGGACATTCCATACTCATGGAATCCTACAATATGTGGTCTTTTATGACTGGCTTTAAAAAAATGTCTTCAGGTTCATCCATGTTGCAACATGAATTGGCATGTCATTTCTTATCATTGCAGTATAATATTCCATTGTGTGGATATACAACATTTTGTTTATCCATGCATCAGTGGATGGGCATTTGGGTGGCTTCCACTTGTGGGCTGTTATGAACATTCATGCCCAAGTGTTTGTGTGGATGTGTATTTTCACTTCTCTCGGGTATATGGACATGGATATGCTAGGAGTGGAATTACCAGGTCATATTATGTAGGTATTTCTACGTTTAACCTTTGGAGGAACTACCAAACCATTTTCCACAATGTCTGTACCATTTTACATTTCACCAGCAATGTGTGAGGGTCCCAGTCTCTCCCGTATGGTTTTAAACGGTGTTATCATCGGGGCCACTGTGGTATAATTCCAATCTCTGAAGTAGATCTTGCAACTGTACGCAAATTTACAGCTATCTCAAGGTAAAAAGCTGAAAAAAGGTTCGTGGTACACACTGTGAAAGCATCAATCACTCTCCTTTTAGAAAGCCTACATTTTTATTTCTTGTGTTAATTTTAGTATAATGAAAAAATGTAAGTCTCTCCTTGGTGCTTAATGATCATGGGTTTTGCCTGTAATCTTGATGAGCTGGGTTTTTGAGAGGCAGAAGTGGGTAGCAAATGGGAGGCTGTGTTCCCTGCAATGTGTCCTGAACTAAAGGGACAGCCACTGAGCCAGACGTTGGTGGAGAAGAGAAATTGAAAGAAGTTAACACTTCCTGCTGCTTCACTTGGTGATGGGTATACACGTGGAGCCTAAAATGGAAGTGTTGCTATGTAATAAGCTGGTGATGTTGAGTTATCTCCACAGGTTTCACTTAGCAAGAAGACAGCTTACATTTTCTTCCTTAGAAAGAAAGACAGGCACAGCACAGGAGGGAAAGACAGATGAGATTGTTCTATAACACACTCAGTCAGTGTTGGGAACTTGAGGGCTTTCAAAACTTTTTTAGGCACGTACATAAATGTTTACAGGGTCCAGAGAGACAAATCCGTGGGAATAAATGATTTAAAGTTGGTGGTCGTCGGTTGTCCTTTTATGGTGATGTTTTCTTAAGTCTCCACAGACATACCAGACTTAATTTTAGCTGCCCCAGGCAGGCGGGGAAAGCCAGGAGAGGGAAGGGCTTGGCCACAAGGGTGCAGAGAGAGAGGGGTTTTGCTCAGGTACCATCTCCTCTCTCCATCCATCCATACCAGGCACATTCAAGACAGCAAAAGCAGGTAAAACTGTCACCCAACCCTCCTGACAGTCTTAGGCCCATTTCCCCAAGGAGAACTAGAGGGCCCCTACCATGCAGAGAAGCACGGGGAGGGGGGGGGGTGGGGGGGGGGGGTTTCCGTAGCTGGGCCTGGTGCAGTGTCACTTCAGGGGACCTTTCCACCTGTAAGCCATTGGCCTCTGCAGCCAGTCTGGGGTTGCCGGACTCTTGCATAGTGGGAGGACCAGACTGCTGAGTGGAACTTCATTGAAAAAAAGATGACTGCAAAAGATGGAGCCTTTACAAATGTGGTGTTTTAATAGGTGAAAAATGTTAAATTATTAAGTCTTGCCTGACATAATTGCACCTAGATCCTGCAAAATACAGTATTTTGAATGATGTTCAGAAGGAAAAACATCAGCCTGGATGCCTAATCCCAAAACGACTGCCAAAAAAGCACTCCCTAATGCAGTGAGGTCAGATGTGAATTTGCTCTGCCTTTAAGAAAAAAAAAAAAGTCTTAAATAGCTACTGCAAGAAATAAATCAACCTTAAATACTGGAAAAGGAGCTCCTGAATAATTTAAAGGCCCAGAACTGAAGCTGCTGCACTTTCCCTGCTGTGTTTGAGCCCCACTCTGTTCTGCCAGGGTACCCTCCCTGGAGTGGATGGAGTGTGAAGTGGCTCCCCCAGTGCCTGGGAAGTAGCTTCCAGAGCATTCTATGTCCACTTTCCTGGCCTTCGCCATGCAACTGAGTCACTCATCTCCATCTGAGTGTCTGTCCACAGATGTCCCCAGAGCCTCTTGTTCTGTCATCTGCAGCATTTCTGTTCCCCTCT